AAAAAATGTTTCAGCGAGTCAAAAAGGAGGGACTGGTTAAAATAAAACCATGATTCCAAGTAACATAAAGCTGATTACACGTCTATCCATAACATTTACGATTCAAAGGAAACAAATGCAAAACCAAGAGCTAAATAGAGGATAAAATGCTCACATTATGAGGACCTATGATGGTGCCTGTCCAGGATCGCATGTATATATCATCTCCATCATCCATTCCATAACTCACAGTACCATCTCCAATCCCTTTTTCTCCACGCTCCAGTTCCTCCAGCAATCTGAAATTTCGAGGGACTGCAAGGAACCTAAAAGATATGAGATGTGCTATATATTTTATTTTTAACAGATATGTAACCATCCCATCTCCTATAGAAAGTAAAAGGCTCAAGATAAAATAAATTAAAGTCCATTTTTTATCAGTAAGTTAAAATCATACTCTACTCTACAGCCATAAACAAAACTGACCAGAAACAAATCATAAAAGCATAGACTAGAACAAAACATAATCAGACTTCTCTAAGTCTGGATATATAATAGTCACCTTCGGTGTTTGATACAGTATATGAACTCTCAACAACTAGAACAAAAAATAACCAGATTTCTCAAAGTCTGGATACGAAATGGTCACCCATAGATTTTTAATACGGTATATGAACTCAACCTCAGAAAACTATCGTAGGATCCTCTCTAAATACAACTGTTTGTCTCAAATCAAATGTCCTAGTTAAACTTGAGAAAATTTTTAGGAAAAAGATGGAACTACGAATTCTTAGTCACGATCCCAGTTTTACCTTTCCATGCCACATAAATGCGGAACCTTATATTTTACTGAATACAAAAAGCATCTAATTTTAAGTGGTAACACAATTTAAACAAGGCAATATGGAAAGAATGTAAAACAGCTCCAAAACTTCATTGAACTAATAACAGAGCGTGCAAATTAACTTGCTCACCGATCAATAATATCATATTTGAAGATATTTCACAAGCCAAAAAAGGAACACAAAACAAATGAATCCGACTCATGGTGTAACAGTTCTTTGACATAAGGGAGAGAATCGAATTTTGTGTCAATCATTGTTTTTTAGATTATTCTTTATGTCTAACTCAAATTCATCGGAGACAATTTTCTAAACAATCAAAAATTAACCAAAAACCCAACAAACCAAAATACATATTTTTTAGCAATAACCCAGATAAAAATCCACCCTATAAAAATAATTATAACAATCAACTTGACAATAATCAGATTCTCCACGGAGATTTGATGGGATAACAGGACAGAATCAAAAAACAGGGCTAGAAAATAAACCAAAATAAATTAATTTTAGCTTTATGATATAGTTTACTACTAACCCACAACACTGGATCCTGCAGATCCAAGAGTCATGGTGTATATATGGTCTATTTTTGAGTGATGATCGTTTTGATTGAATAGAGAAATTGTGGAGAGGCTGAGTCAAGACTCAGAAACGCGAGTGAGACTTTAAAAAAGGCTGATAAAAGGAGTAAAGCAACAAACAAAATTATTGGGGGACGAGGACAAAACGCGTTTGGTTCAACTTGGAAGTTGCTTCTTTTTTCACACATAATAATAATAATAATAATAATAATAATAATAATAATAATAATAATAATAATAATAATAATAATAATAATAATAATAA